GTAGTAGTAGTAGTAGTAGTAGTAGTAGTAGTAGTAGTAGTAGTAGTAGTAGTCGTGATCAATATTAATAAACCATTCAATCGCGTTGAAGTGGATATAGGTTGTAGCTTCAGTGCAATACAACGTCCTTTGAATCATTTTTTTTGTTTAGCGAAAGTAACGCCAGAGACACAATGTTTCACTCCTTTACCCTGTGTAGCAGTTTGTTGTCACCGTTCTCCTCACCGACCCTCTCCCCTCCTCTCTAACCCCTGATTTAATTTGCCTTCTGCGAATCCCCAGCCACGCCAGTATCTGTTACTAGACAAGGACACGAGCATCAGTGACGTCACTCATTTCATGGCCCTGGCCTGGAAGCTTCATGTTCCAGAGGTTGTGCTCACCATCATCTCAAGCCAGGAATATTATCAGCCCTGGGGTAACTCAAGCCACGTCCTCGACTTCCAGATCGGTCTGATTCAGGTTCCCCACTGAGTTAAATGTGGTCTTGTTTCTTCCGTGGTCATCGTGTTCCTTTACTTAATTGTGTCTGGTTTGGTGGGCACAACTGGTGTCCTTTTAAACTTCGTTAAAGCCGTATTGTCTTTTCTCAGACAGTTTACGGTTATAGTATGAGGTTGCATTACAGGAAGAGCAGTAAAGAGTTAGCTCTGTAGTCCGTTTGTTATTTCCTTGCACTAGAGGTTAACCCAAGAGTTCACTGTAGGAACACAGCAAAATGAGATGGGACTATAATTTCTAACTGTGGAATTGTATTTATATACATTACGTCTGTATGGATAGTTGCTTTCCGATTGAAGAAGGTTTTAAAATCAAATGTTTCTGTTTCTCTGATGGGTTGTTGTATCTCACTCATCTCCAAAAAATACCTGAATTGTGTTCGAGGGACGTGAAATAGTAGCAATTATATAGCAAGACGGATACTTGGAGGTCAAGAGGTTTTTATGCGTCCTCTGCACATTTTCGTCATGGTTGCTTATGAAATGTGAGTGGAGGTTGCCCACCCATCAGTGACATAGACTTTTTATCGACACCTTTACTCTGCGTGTCCGTTCTTCCATTAAAACAGCAGGCAAAGTGTTTTCCTTTTGTATTGACCGTTTTCTGTCTATTAGGGATTAAATTGCAAGAAGAACTTTTACTGCGGCCATGAGAAAAGCTCTTCTTCTTTATAGGTAACTACCCCACGTGAATCCGGAGCAAAAATTTGTGGGCCCGCACGTAAATCCCGCTAATTTGCTGTCCCTCTGTTGCTTCTGTCTTCATTGCCTTTTTTCAGATACGATATGATCGCTTTCATTTCTATACGTTTCTTTGCAACCTCAAAATATCAAACACATCTGTTCGTTTAAAACGTAACACTGAAACTCAAGATTTTATTTAATTCATTTGACAGAGTCATAACAAAAATTTTGTCTATTGTTGTTAAATATATTATACATCCTTTTAACAAGTAAGAATAGTACATATTGATTATGACAGAATTCCTCACGCTGTCTTTGTTTGGCCCTGAACTGTTTTAGTTTTATGACATCCTCTTGACTTATGACTTTACCTCACGTCATATTTTTATCTTGTCTGACCTCACCGACCCTGAAAGTCGATGTGACCTTCGGATACAACTGAACATACACTTTCCCTTTTCGTTTACCAACATTTTGGACATTGGGGTCAGCTGGCGAAAATATTGCCTGCTAAGCTATTTCTTTTTTCCGGGCAACCCCTTTCCTCTTTCTCCCCCTTACCCGTACTGTCTTGATTGATTTAGTAGTCTTGGGGACCGTGATGTATCTCTACCAGTCCTTTTCTAGCTGTGCCCTTGTGGGGGGACATTTTTCGAAAGGGGGAGAAGATAGTTTGGTTGTAGCATTGGTAACGTCCGCTTGGGAGTTGTAGTAGGCTTCGACGTACCTTTTGTGAAAGAGAAATGATAGTTAATAGGGGAGTACGCTCCAAGGCTATCTCGCCTATTACAGGACCAAATTTCACCAAATTTCTCACATATAACAGGCGTAGTAAGGAATCTTAAAACCCACAATCAATTTTGAGGAAAAAAGTTTCGTTTAAATGGATACGGCGGACATATTGGATTTTGTTGACATGTCTTACGTAAGGAATACCGCACTTATTGTTCGTGGAAATTGATTTGTCTATTTTGCATACATGTTAACAAGCTTTAGATCTAAAATTGTGTCTGTGATTTTTTTCCAAAAGAAATTAGAACCTTTTAAATTAACTTTTTCCTGAGGTATTATTCAAATTTGAAAACAATCCGTGAAAATCCAATTTAAAAATTCATCATCATCATCATCATCATCATCATCATCATCATCATCATCATCATCATCCTCATCATCATCATCATCATCATCATCATCATCATCATCATCATCCTCACCGACTAAACAATTTCACATTCTCTTTTTTTTCTCCTTGTTCCTTTTTTCTTGAAACAAAACAATTTGCCCCATGTCAATACATTTAACTTAACCTACAAATATCGCCACCAAAATTAGGAGACGGGACCCAAAAAAAATAAAAATGAAAAACAATTTTAAAATACTTCAAAATCCTCACTTTGTAATCGTCAGGCCGCTCGACTGACCAAGATGTGGCTGCTGTCAGAGGGCGTGGCCGGCGGCCTGGCGGACATCCTGGGCGAGGCAGCGGCCGAGGAGAGACTGAGGAGGCGCATGGTGGAGTCCGAGCAGGCCAACCTCACCTACACAATGGACATGGAGACCTACCCCAACCTCGTGCTCATGGGGCTGACAGCCTTGGAGCAACTGACCTACGGGGAACAGGTGGCCTCTAATGCCAAAATAGTGAGTAGAAACCAAAGTCTTGAATGATTTTCTTCGCCTTCTTCTATCCCGTGGTTGGGGAAACCGTGGGGACACCTCTGCATCTGAAAACCAGCTCTCACCATTTCTCTTTGTCCTCTGCTTTCCTCAGATTGTCACCCATCGTCTTCCCTGTCCACTCAGCGATGTTGTCCTCCCATCTCCTTCTCTGCCTTCCTCTCTTTCTCTTTCCTTTTACAGTTCCTTTTAGGATTGTTTTGGAAAGCCCTATGGATCTTGTGACATGCCCATACCATTTTAATATTCGTCTCTTCACATTGTGGTCAGTAGATCATCATGCTACCTCACTGCATTTGTGATTCTGTTTCGTACCTTGAATGATAATAAGGTTATATATAGAATATCCTTCTACTGTAATGGCCTCCGCCGCTCTTTGTTGGCTTATAAAAAACTTCTCCGTGAAACATGTGCACCATGGGTGTCTGAATGAAGGGCAGAATATCGCCATGGATATGGAGACGTACCCCGCCTCGTGCTCATGGGGCTGGCAGCCTTGGAGCAACTGACTTACGGGGACGAAGAGGCCTCTAAGGCAGAGTAGTGGGTAGAAACTAGAGTCTTGGAATATATTTTTACAGTACAGAATTGGTAGCTTTTATATAAGGGCAAGCGGGCTAACCCAGGTTTCAGGGGTTTCCAGAAATCTTGTCCGTCGCCAAAAGTGGGCATTGCCCTACCTATGGGACAAGTTTGGTTTTCATTGGTGAGTATATTTGGTTATAGAGAAAACCTTCCTAGTCTTTTAAAGATAAATTTCATGGGTCCAAAAACTTTACCTTCGGTTTACTCAAAACCGCATATTTGGGGATAACCCTTGTGCTTAAAAGCGACCAGTTATTAGAATATCCTTCTAATGTAATTGCCACCGCCATCCTAATTGCTGGCTTGAAACATTTCTCTGTCATACATGTGCACCATGGGCCTCTAAATGAAGGCCACAATACCAATATCGTTCCATTCAGGTTCGTGCGCATCCTGTCCTCTCTTGGCCTTCATTTAGGGAATTTGATGTGTATTACAAAACCAAATGGAGCGCTCCATAGCGAACCGGAGCTAAGGCAAGATGCACGGTATACGATTTCATGAGACAGGCCTATGGATTGAATAAAACATTAGTTTCACATAATAAAGACATATGGTACAGACGCATCATCGCTTCAACATCCCCCTGCCCCCCCCCCCCCCGCACACATAACCAAGCATTGCAAAAGGAATCCTTTTAAGTCACCAATAGTGTAAGCGTTGCCAGGATAAGCTGATTACGTAGACACACAGACACATAGATTGCTGTTAACACGAACAGCACGTCGACTCGCTTTTTTCATATTAGTAGAAAGAATCTGAAAACAAAGAGAAAAGAGGACAAAAAAAACAACCCTATCAAAAGGTGACGAACCAGAAGAGCAATATGTATATATTTTTTTCGAACGTTATCAATCTATTGCGTCCCTATTTCGTTTAAGGCAGCAAAAAATCTCTTAGAATAAATTCACAGGGTCCAGAAACAGAGCCTTCTATCAAGTTAGCCAACAAAGGAGCCGAGATGGAGCTGGATCCCCACCATTCTCATTTCCTCCTGATGCGCACGGCGGAGGCAGGGGAAAGCAAATCGAACGCTACGAATGGCTTTAATATAGAGTCCAGGTACGCTTTTTCCAGAGATTTCCAACAAAATCTGTTGTCACCTGTCCGTCTTATCAAATCCTGTGAATGAGCTAGAGTTTTGTTCCTCGGTGGGTTTACGCTCAGATTAACTTAGATAAATTGCGTTTCCCTAATGCGGAGAAAGCGGTGGGCTGTGGTAAGTGAAAAGAAGTAGGCATGAGGGAAGAAGTAAATGCTATCAAACTTGTGTATTGTGAACTAACGTTTATAATCCTGTGTTTATGTATGTGTGTGTGTGTGTGTGTGCGCGAGTGTGTGTGTGTGTGTGTGTGTTAGTGTTTACGCACGAGAGCACTAATTGTAAGGATGTGTGTTAGAAGGAATTATTCTCTGCTCTAATTCTGCTATGTTGATGTGATTTTTGTCTCAGCTGAATCTTTTCTTGTTCTGGTATAAGAATACAAAAACCATTGGAAACATTTTTGTAGAAATTGGTCGGCTCAAGTATTTACAGCAGGGAGCACATCGACTGCTGTACAGCTGCAACACATTTCTTCTTTCTCTTTCCCCTAAAAAACAAATTATTACTACTTTGAAACCCAAATCTGACTACGGTTGATCTGTACTTCAGGTTTATCCAGTACATGACCAGCAAGACGAGAACTGGTAAGGGATAAGAAAAGTATAAAATATTCGTCACAAAAACGCAGAGGTTTCGTGAAGAAACTGTAAGTAATAATAATATTATTATTATCAGCATTATTCTAACACCAAGAAGGGTGAGAAGGTATTGCGCTTGCAAGCTACTGCAGACACCAAACATGGTAACAAAAAGAGGTAAAGATATGATAGTAAGCAACTTGTAATGATGACTAATGTTGACATGTAATGATGACATGGATATATTTTATACATAATATATAATATTATAACATGTATTTTATATACATTGTATTATGTGTGTGTGTGTGGGGGGGGGGGGGTGCCCTTGCGTGTGTGAAAATCTGTTTGTTTTTGTGCGCCCGCTCACTCGAACGCGGGCATACATGAATGATTACGTTCATCTCTGGTTTGTCTTTCAAATCGTACAGACGACACAAAGAAGTCGCCCTCATCCCACGACTCTGTGGCACCGGTCGTAGGACTGCTGGTACAGGGAGGACCTCGGGAGATAGACAGGGTGCTGTGGCTGCTCAAACGACAAATCCCTGTGATTGTCATCAAGGGGAAGAAAGGTTTTGCCTCCGGACTCATTGCCTATGCCTATTCCGAAGGCATGAAAGGGTGAGAGTTTGAGTAATGATGACAAAGTGGTTGTACATTAGCTTACAAACGCCTGCTCTCTTTCGTCTCGCTGCCTCTGTGTCTCTATCTTTCTCTACCTCTGTCTCTCGGTCTCTGTCTTTCTCTATCTCAGAATAAAAATACTGAAGTCCTCCACCAGCCTGCTCAAAACTTAACAAACATTGCGTCTGCAGTCATGAAAGTGCACGATAGCCAATTCAAAGCAGTGAGGAATTTGACGAGTATTATAATTATTATGCTGAAGTCGCTTCAAGATAAGCTATTTAAGCTAGATGTGCGTGTTTTGGTAGACTAAGAAATATACAGTGTGATCCAAAAAAAACAACTTTACAACATTTTTTCTGAATATCTCTCGCAAAAATTGTTCTAGAATGCTGTGATTTGGAACAGAACATATTCATTCAAAAGGAATTTGTTTGATATAAAATATACGAAAAAGAAACATGCTTTGAAAACGGAAACGGCTAAAAGAAAAAAGCACCCCAAAACGCAAAGTTCACCAATGTTTAAAAATCTTGTAAAGGAAGTCGTGAAAAGATTAGTTGACCTTTTTCTTTATTTTCTCTTTGCCATTAATTTCCATCTCTGTGACACTTAAACAATATTTAAATTCGTTTACAGAGTTTTAAAAACCAAATGACTTCATTCTGAAATTCCTAGAAGCAGTGCTCCACTTTCCCTCCTTGGGATTCGACACATTTTTAACGCGTTGTTCGAAATGCTCAGTGGCGTCCTAACACAAAGACCTGCTAAACCATGGGTTTTTTAAGCCACATACACTGTACATATTCACTAGGAAATGGCTTCTAGAGACAATAGAGTGGGGGTGCCCAATAGACAGCATTTTTTAAGTTAACATATCCCGCAGAGTGAAAATGGGCATTGCACTTAATCAAAATTCATCGAGGAAATGATCCCTCTTTACAAGACAATCGAGGAATCATGAACACATTGTCATGCTCTGATCCATGTCATCTCGGCCTAGCGAAGATGAACATGGTATAGTCGTAGGTTAAGATATGCCATGATAATGCAGACTGTCGATGTGTAGGAAAGTCCTAGCTGCAGATCTTCTACGGAAAGACGTCTCAATGGACTCGGCTTCTGAAATCAGCACTCTGCTGACGTTTAAAGGGCTGCGCATGGTGCGTATTCGACCTGAATTGGTCATTTTTTAAAGAAACTTTTAGTTCTGATTCGCTATAGATCCAAATTGACGGAACTTCTCTACTCATGACGCCAAAGGTCTGGAGGGCACCTAAGCATTCTCTCCATGCCGTGCGCAGAACTTACGAAATGTCAGGGATAGTGAGTTTGTGGAGAGGTAATGTTCAATACAAAAAGCTCTCTGCTCTCTACTAAACGTAGCTATGATCTCAGCAGGCAAAC